AAATTTAAAATATTTTTATAAAAAAAGTTTAAAAAATTTAAAAAGAAAATAAAGAAATTCATACGCTAAACCACTGTAAAGTTGGCTTCGCCGTCGAGCTTCTCTCATTAAGAAAAGCTTAGCAGTGAAGCCAATTTTAAAAAATTAAACTTATTTATTAAAATTCTTAAATATTAATAGAATTTTTATATATTTACACGCGTTTGAAGGTTTATAAGACGTATTTTTATAATTTTATACAGTTTTTATTATGAAAAATCCGTTGTAGGACTGGATGAAGTTGAAGAACGTATAGATAGAGTTAAGGTGGAATAGGGTGTACTTAAGTCCTTCTACTGCAAAAAATATGTACTTTATGATGCTTTAAGTGTCAAAGGTTAAAGTTGACGTGTTGCTAAAGCTGCCCGCAAGAAAATTAGAGCATAAAATGGGGGTAATCGGCGCTAAAATGGTGTAGAAAAGTCGATTACGCTGGAGAATCCATTGCTCATCTGCTAATTAAGGAAGCAATTAACGATGTTTTCGTCTGGAAGAAAATAACACTTTGCTAAGTAATAATTTCCTGTAGCATCTACAAACATGCGTATACAATTTTCTAGTGATTACTGGATTTATTTACAAATTAATCGGAGAATAACATGCACCTCATTTCAAAGATTCCATCGATGTAACCGGGGCAGAGGTTTCCGTGTTATTAATATGGATTCTCCTATGCTAAAAATAAGAAAACATGTGGATAAAGAGGAACAAAATGAAGCTATATGTGCATTTTTTTTGAAGTGCATGTGCACTTGGAGGGTAAGGAGATTGGTAAAATCAATACGTGACACGATTGTGTATGGATGTATGATTGCCTCCAGGTACTTGGAACAACAACACAAAAGAATTTTCGTATTAAATTCCTGTTAAATCTATACATAAAAAAATAACAAAATTAGATTTTTGAGGTCTTTTTTCCTTATTTTACACGAAAAAAATGGATTCTGGAGTGTTTTTTTTTATATATATAGAAAAATCTTCAGAAATTCGATTAAAGTGCAAAGATGGAATTTATCACTTCATCTTTGTAATACAGTTAGAAAAAGCTGGTTGGATGCTAGTCACAATTGATTTACGTCATCGAAAATAGGGAAAAAATTGGAAAAAAATATGTTAAATAATTAAATAAAATTCATTTAAATATACTGAAAATGATAGTTTCTTCGTTTGTTTGTGTGAAGAAGAGGACATTCTTCGACACATCGATTCATTATAAAGGACGATGTTTTGCTTCTGCATGTAGGGAAAAATAGGGAAAAAGTTTAAAAAATCTCATTTAATTCCTTATATTCCATTTCCTTATAATTCCTTATAAACCATTAAAAAAATGAAGTAAAATCTTTTAAAATTCAGTAAAAATTGCATTATTTTCGTCTCTTTATATAATGATGATGTCGATTTTCTGCTGTATTAATTCGTTTTAATGGATGATATTTTGCTTTTATAGGTAGAAAAATAGGGGAAAACATAAAAATCTTTATCTTATTCCCGAAGAAACATTAAAGAATCTGATTAAAATGCACAAAATATGGCATTATTATCACTCCTTTATACGAAGAGGGTATCACTTTTCAGCCGAATCAATTCGTTTTAATGGATGATATTCTACTTCTAGAGATAGGAAAATAGAGAAAAAGATTAAAAAAATCTCCATTTTATTACCAATAAGACGTTAAATGCACGAAAATTGGCATCATCCTCATGCCTTCTACGAAGAAGGTATCACTATTCATCCGCATCAATTCGTTATAATGGATGATATTTTGCTTCCGGAAGAAGGAAAAATAATTCCGGATGAAGATAAAATAAGAAATAAGAAGAAAAAGCCTTTTGTTTCTAACGAATATCAAAGATTATTTATCAAAAATGTTTATCTTATGCTTTCAATTCTTTCTCCTCTCTTGTAAGTACCCTACCCACTTCTAACAATGGAAAGTACGTGATCTATATAAAATAAATTTTATATATTTTTTATTATCTTTCCTTCGTAACAACGTTTAAAAGTTCATTCAATGAATCTTTCATACACAATTTTAAGTTGCATTTAATCCTTCAATGGCTTTGGACGTATCCTTTCTATGTCATTTTATGGGGATAAATTTACAAATGTATTTGTTCTAATGACTTTTTCTACGCTTTAAACATTAAATTTCCTTTAAAAAATCAAAATTTCTTTGTAAAAAAAGCTAGAACAACGATCTTCACGCTCGGTTGGATGAAATTTTTCCACCGTTTCCTCGCAAAAAATAGGGAAATTCGACGATTTAAATGCTTTTATTTTCTTTAAAATCTCTGTTTTCGGCTCTAAATTACGATATTTAATCCAAAAAACGAGAATCAGAAACTTTTCTAGCATAGGAGCATCATCATCATCATCATCATTCCTCATCTTTCCTCCACGTTTTCCATGCAAAAGATAGGGAAATTAGATCATTTAAATACTTTAAAATTCATATTTTTGAACCTAAATTACCTTATTTAATCCATAAAACGAGAATCAGAAACCTTTTTTAGCACAGGAGCATCTTCATCATTATCATTCCTCATTCAAGACGATTTCCTAGAAACAAGACGATTCTTCATCTTCTACGCGTACTTTCCTACCCCAAATCTCCCTCAAAACTTGAATTTCCTTTATAGTAAGTTTATAAGTAGTATAACTCGCTACATCACCGGTTAAGTAGGGATTTTCGAGGTTATTTCCCCACCTAAAATGCATCTTTAACGATAAACTTCGTGCAGAAACCTTAAGAGAGTTAACGATTAGGGAAATTTATACAAAATTCGCTTTAAAAAAGAACATTTTAACTATTCACAACGCGTAGAAACACGGGGAAATCGCTTCCGTCCAGAACACCGTATCGAGTGACGTAGCTCGAGTCCACCCTCTCAAATATCGCGGGAAAATGGGGCACGGCACCGTAATCATACGTCATCACCCCACGTGACTCGGCGAACGATCAAACCCCCAGCACAGTTATCGCACTTAACGGGGTTTGACGGCCAAGGTTGGTCGCGATCACGTGTTTATACGCACAAAACCCGATTGGGCGAAGCCAATACTACGTTCTGTGACAGCATACCGGCTGGTGTTCTGGTTAGGGAGTCGCGTTACTTCGTCGCGCGCGTGGTAAACATCATCCATGATGATGTATGTTGACGAGGAGGATGATAGCTCCCCCCGATCTTCCGTATCCTGGATGAGTGATGCCGTCAACGCCTTTATGAATAGGAGATTCATCAGAAGTTTCAGCGAACGTATATCTGGTAATAAATATCGCGGTTGCCCATTGGGTAGAGCCGAAAGGTGGTGGAAGAAAGTGCGAGAACATAGGCTAACAGGTAAGCCAAATACTAAGTCTTCTAGGGGGGTGTGGACACCGGAAACGGGCCCCAAAAGGCCACGTGACTCGCCCATCTCTTAGTGTTTATATCCGTTGTATAGTTAAATAAAATTCGTCCCCACGTGCAATTTTATACGTAACAATACGCATTTTATATTGTGTGTT